TGATAGTGATATATGAAGCTGAGGGAACATTGGTAACAAGGCCTCATGTACTACATTATTTAAAAACAGAAAATGGCTTTAGGGCAGCATGAACTGAAACTAACTCTACTTGTGCAGGTCTGAAGCTCTCTTTAAATTTCAAAAGGGGATTTGCATGCAACTATTTTTCCTTTGGGGAGAAATCCTGCTTCATCTTGCTATAAAAGCTGTTCCCTGGAGAAAAAAAAAAGAGTGAAGCAAACAGGAAATGTGTGAGGAGGTCCAAGAGACATAAGCCAACTACCTGGCGAGGTTCGGATGCTGAGGTTGCGTGTGAACTCATCTTTAAGTGCACCGAGAACTGCAGTCATGTCCTCCTTCACTTCATCCAAACTGATGATGTCTTCCACCAGGGCTGAATTAATATTCACCTTAGCTGACTGGCCCTTTGCCTTGGCTTAGAAGATGAAAAAGGAGAAAATAAAGCTCAGATATAAGACAAATAGCATCTAATCAACAAGCTAACATTAGAGCCAGGGGAAGTGAAGATGTTGCACAAATCAGAGCTTCAGTGTCTGTACTGACCTTTAGCCTTCTTGGTGGCGTAGAGCCTGATGCATGCGGGAGCAGGGTGCAGAGAGGTGCCAAGACATGTTGGTGGTCTGACACCGATCCATGAGGTGACTGTGAGGGGGGGCCTGGCATGCCGAGCCAGGGACTGACAGAGAAGAGGACGCAGCAGGTTCAGGTGATTCAAAGCCATGACTGCAAACACATTAAAAATGGAGGGTATTTGATAAAAAAAAAAAGAAACAAACTTGACATACAGATTGCACACATCATAAATAATTTATATATCATTTGATAGTTGCACTGAATATATTCATCAAAATGAGGTAATAGCTCATGTTAGCCAGCAGGAGGTAGGCCAACATCTTCCAACTTCACACAGTGTAAAAGACTCTTCTTTAATCTATAAACTTATGATAATTAGCTACAGAGTTAAACTCGCTTAAAAATAACCTTAGCATTAACATTTCTGAATTATATTAAAATAAAATATGGTTCAAGTTAAGACTGTAATTAATTTACATTTAGTAAAAAAAAGCATTCCTAAATAAGCAAACAGCTTAACCAGGATATGGAAAAGTCTTAGCACATCCTGTACAAACAAGGGGCTCTCTAAATAAAAAAAAAACCCTGCATTAGATACAAGTTTGGCAAAAGATGTAGATTGTTTTGCATTGAGGTAATTTGTTTGTTTTCATGTGATTCGATGAAGTGTCTCAAAAAAAAGAACTCGTCATATTAGCAGACAGTTTCGTAAAATGGTTTAAATGGTTTAAAAGGCACCCAGTTTGTTCTGTGGAGCCTATATGGAGCTCAATGTTCATAATGTGTGCATTTTAATAGTGACAAAGAAAAAACTAAATGTGACCAGTAAGAAGTTAAAAGAAAAGAGTCAAAAGATTTAAGCATGAATTAGTTTATAGTTGTTTTCTATTCATAAGGCATTGCATAGCTAATTATTTTAATTATTAATTATTGGGCATTATTTTGGTTGAATTCTAAGGAACAGTATATTTAATTCCAATGTATTTCCCCCAACAACTTATGTCATAAAATAGAAAAATATGCAGCATGTACTTTCAGGAAATATTTTTGAATGCAGCAGAGAATTAAGGAATCAGAACATTTAACTTTATGTAGGGACCAATGCATTAGTATTTGACCTGCATTTTGAACCGTTTTTTAAATAAAGATGCATCAACATGTCTGCTGCTGGTTGGTGCCTTCGTAGACTTAAAAATAATCAAAGTTATTTTGATGCATTAAATCAACGGTAAAAAGCTAATCAAAGATCAGAGACGATCAAGGAAAGATTGTCAATTTCTGATCACTGGTGCACCTCTACTTTTTTAAATTCTATACTTGCTAATTTATAAAGGAATAAATATGTCAAGATAGTTTATAAAATCCATTAATCAGAAAGGACAAATAAAATCATGCAGTTTAAAGATAGGTAAATTTTTTACATAATGAAACTAACTAAAACCTGGTTACCGGTAATTACAATGTTCTTAATTAGAAAAAAATTGAAAAATAAAAAACCAGAGTAGTCTAAAACGGCTGATTCTGCATAAAATCTCACAAACAACAGCATCAGCATTATATGCAGTTATAGACTTTTCTCTGTTGTCTTCTTACACTGACAAACCTACAAAGATGCAAGTTTCCAAAAGCCACTGTGCACTCCTAAACAGGAACACAACAAAGTGACTTCATGCTCTGCATATAGATGAATCGGAGCTCACCTTGCAGCCGGCCTCTTGACTGTGAACTCTGTCACTGACCCGCTTCCCGCACATGCAAACAAAAACCCACTCTACAACATATAAGCCCACACAGACAGCACCCAGTAAAGCCTGTCTTTCAAAATCAGTGGCTGTAACCTCTTGTGGAGCGCTGCTCCCTGACTGGCATCTCCTATTATCTGGGGAACACTGGATGAGGAACATGCCATCGGTTCTGCACTAAAAATGTTCACCCACAGAGATCTTGACAGTGTTCCTACTGCAGTGTAATTCACACACATTTCTGAGGGTTTTAATTCCAGCAAAGAAGTCAAAAAAGTAATGACAGTAAATAATCACTGAAAACATCTCCTGTCTTATATAAAATACTAATGTGTCCTCATGTAAAGCTAGAATCCTCACTCTAATCTTTGCTGTCAATTCAAGAAACCATATTTAGGCTAGACAGCGGACCACCGATTCTGTAACAGGCAGCTGAAACTGGGAGGTTTCCTCACAAGGCGATATGATTCGCCACACAGTGGCGGAGCTGACAGGCAGAGATGTGGGAAGGTGACAGATCTCCTTACAGAATAAGTCAGGCGAACAAAGTGAAGTCCAGGTGTTCAATGGGATACTGTAGTCTCATATCCTGTAGGTTTCACAACCAGCTGCAGCCACGCCCCTGCTTCTTCATCCAACAGTGAGGAGCCAGCTGGTCAGCCCGCATGCTCTCACTGTTTGCTTTGGAAAGGAACACTAAAGAGTATCTGATAATGGTCTGCATCGCTCTGCCTCCTCAAACAAATTTCCTACTGGGAAAGGGTGGGAAAGTCAATAAAGTAGAAGAATGAGAATGAAAAAAATGATTTTGGATTTCTGCTCCGGAAAATGACAACCTGTTATTTAAGGCTGCAACTAACGATTATTTTTTAAAATCGATTAATCTGTCGGCTATTTTCTTGATTAATCGTTTAATAATCATAGCAAAAGATTCCTTAAAGAAGACTTTTTGCAAAATTAAACCAGGTGAAAATAAAGCTTTTTTCACTTGAGGAGTGCTGAATAGAGCTTATTGACATACTAATTTTTTATTTTTTTTTAATCTTAAATGCAAAATGTTTCCTCGTTTTTTTTTTTATTTTTTTTAATTTTTTTTTATAATGTTGATATAACTGCTGCTCAAGGTGGGTTTCTCTGTCAACTAAAGTCACATTTTAGATTCTCTACACTCCACTTAACAATTGATCAATTACTAAATTAGTTGACGATTATTTCAATAATCGATTAATCTGATTAAATGTTTCAGCCCTACTGTTATTACTTATTTCCAAATGACTCTAAAATGTCAGTATGTACTACTTTGTTTAAAAAAATTAAAAAATAATACAACCATCAGTGTGTGAGTGTGTGTGTGAATGGGTGAATGACTGAATGTAGTGTAAAGCGTTTTGGTCAAGTCTCCTGACGCTATATAAGTATACATTTACCATCTATCAGACCTTTGACATGTTTTTTAATTAATAAGCAATTATAAATCTAATTTAAAAAAAAAGGCTGAAGAAATCTATAAATGGTTGTTAGTCCGCAAACCAGTATCAAATATAAGGAAAAAAGCTATGAAAATGTGGGGTAGTAGTACATTGGTATTCATCCCATTTTAATCCAATCAACCTTTAGTTTCAGTTTAGTTTATCGCATCTAACATTAACCATTACTAGTACATACCTCACCCTTAACTTAAATCTAAATTTCATCTGATCTTTGTCTCAAATCTAAGCAAACAAAGTAAAGAGAAGTAAAATCTTCTCACTTTACATCAAAGTCCTCAATTTAGTGGTTAAATGCGCCTGGAATGTCCTCACTTGGAAGCAGGTACAAGTACACACACACACACACACACACACACACACACACATAGACAGTCAACCTAAAGCTACAGTTTTGGGTAACCAGACAACCTAACTTATCTCTCTAGCTGGCCAGAAAAAAAAAAAAAAAAATACAATCATGTATTTGGTTCTGATCTTTTTAACTGTGGATAAAACTTCCCAGCACGTGACAAAGTGCTGAACAACACCACTCACCATAAACACAACAAATAGACCCTGAGCCCCCAATAATGAAGGATGCACAGAATAAACAACAATTGCAGAAGCATTTATGAACGGTGTTTTTGAAGTGATTTGTTTTTTTGTGATTTTTTAAAATCACAAATACAAAGAACAAAAAAAATATATAATAATAATCTGTGTATTAAAAATACCAAGAAACCTTACACAGTGAAATATGAAACTATCAAAATATAGAGGCATATTTAACCTAGTTAACTAAAGCTTGCTGAAGGTCGAGTAAATATTGTGAGTGAGCTAAAAAAGTCAACGCAAAAAAAAGTTATTAAACAAATATATGCTGTTGCTGCAACAAAAATATAACCCGTAGCTTTAAATTGCACACAATGCTTCACTTACTTATTCGGGGTCAGGCTTTATAGAAGAAGCATGTTAGCTAAAGGAAACCCTGCAGTTGACGACTTTTTCGTCATCAACGAAAGGAGCTGTCAGAGTCGAGTGTGCTCGATATAGTTTACTGGTCACACCGATATGGTGGGGTAACACTTCGCTAATGTTGTGGCGTTCAGAGCACGTCGTGTATTCGGGAGGTGCTAAACATTAAACCAACTGCCTCCTTTTGACTCGTCTGGCGTTCACAAAACTGCGTCATCATCCTGCGCCTTTGTTGTCAGGCTGTATCTGAGCGGATGTATTTTTTTCTCAGAGTACAAAAACTCAGCTATTTAGGTGGAAAGTTGTCGTCTGAGATGATTTCAGAGACGTTTTGATGTCATTGGATCATCCCAAAAGTGGGATTAGTGGGAACGTTAAAACTCAGGTCTCCTTATTCAAGAGGAACAAACAAAGGTAACAGCAGAGCAGCTAGTAGAAACATCCTGCTACTCGTTTGAAACGTGCTTTTTACTCTGTTCCTAGCAAAGTTTGGGCTAGTATGTTTATATCATTCTAAACAGTGAGCTAATTTATTGCGGAATAATAATGAATAGGTTATCTTGCTGAGTTTTAACGGCACAAGCAATGTTTGTAACAGGTAAACCTCACCCGTACGAATAAAATATAGGAATATTGGTACTCTTACATTTTTATAGATCAAATTAAATGTTTTTGTGTTAGTAAGCATTAGGCGATGTGCATTTTGTAACAACAAATGATAACAGGGAATGTATTAAACTGGAGATAATGTGTCGGTATAAATGTATGGTTTTAAACCAGTTTTTTTATGTTGTATGAAAGATTATTTATATGATCGTGCTGCTTTGTAACAGAATTCCCACAAGAAGGAATGCCCTAAATAAATAATTACAATCGCCTCTAAATAAATTCGTTCAAAGTACTATAAGCTGATCGAAGTTAATCTTTTAGACCACTAAGCAGCAAAGTAAATATGGGTAAAACTTGTGAAATAAAATACAATCTCTAAAATAACTCTGAAATTATAATGAGAACATTAATATAACATCCACTTAGGGACTCTTACTCTATCATGGTCAAAAGGTTGAGGAAAATAAACAGGTCTTTACCAGATATGTACATAAATCCCTGAGCTGTGCTGATGTTTAAAAGAAAGCTTTAATATGGCTTGATCATCTCTACATTTTATTTTGGAACACCAATTATCCAGGAGAATCTTGCTGGTTGACTGTAGTGCCTAATGGTACACCTAGAGTGGTTTACATGAGTAGGATAGGTGTGGAACATTTAAGATGTTACAGGTATAATAGAGGAATTTTTTTAATAGACCCGTCCTCTCCTCTTTAAAAAAAACACTATGTCAGACTCACCACCAGTAAGTGAAAATGGGAATGAGCACGTTGGATGGCCTTGCTTAAACATATCACCAGAATGATTGACAATTTGGAGGACCACTTATTTTGACGATCCACCTGGAAAAAGAACATCCTCCACTATATCTTTAAATGGTTTTTACCGGCCGATATTTAGTTCTGTTTAACCTTGAAGTTTGACCTAGTGATTTCACTTTTCTCCTCAATGCCTATTAAAAAAAAGTTGATCTATGTTCCATTTACTTTTATTAAGAGATTAAAATTCACAAACGTTTAACAACGTTTGTATTGAATCCAAATGAAAATTAAGAAATTTCTAAATGATTTCCAGATATGCTTAACTTTTTCTAATTTTCTTTTTTTTTTTACCATAGATTAACAAAAAATGGGTCGAATGAGTGTCTTTGGTTTGTTTGTTCCTTTGGAGCAAAAAATAGAGTTTTCAGTTTTTTTTTCCTTTTTATAAACAGGATCAAATTCTCTTTCATTTCTGATCTGTCAATTTACAGTCCCAATCGAATAAAACACCTGCTTTATCGGTGCATCTTTTTTTTTTTTGAATTTCATTGGATCTAAAAATATAAAGACCTTAGTTAAAATATTTAAGTATATATATTTTTTTATTAAATTCTTTTGATTGCTCAGCTTGTCATATTATATCTTTTAATCATTATTTATAGTTCTGTGGTACTGATACGTTTTTTTGTGGATTAATATGTTTTTCTGTTTTGTCTGTTGGCCTCCCTTGTTTTTATACTAACAAAACAAAAACAACAACAAAAAAACAATGCGTATATTAATAAAGCTGTCATATCCAAACATTTATTATAGGTTGGGATACTTTATAGGTGGAGAATATAGGAATTTTGGGACTCTTACATTTTTATAGATTAGATTAAATTTTTTTATGTTAGTAAGCATTAGGCGAAGTGCATTTGGTAACAACAAATAATAACAGGGTAATCTACCACTCTTAATCTACCACTCCACCTACTTTATAGGTGGAGTGGTAGATTAATAGTCTTAAATAAGAACATATGATCTAAAATTGAAAACATTTAAATTTCATTAATCTCAATATCGGTGTCTTTAATTTCACATTTACCGAGCAATGTTTTGAATAAATATTTTGTGTGTTGCCATATTTCTAAGCGCATCTATTCATGCTAATAATGTATTGAATCACTTTGATGGACCAAAGCTATTAGATTAATTAGGAGGACAATGCTGAATTCAAGAACAACCAGCATTGTCTTTGAACAATACAACAATAATATTGTAATAACATGTTTACTACCATCAAAAACTCCTAAAATAAATTGTAAATATTTTTTGATTTGTTATTGAACATGAAAATCCCAATAAGGAACAAGAAAAGAGGAAGAAAAGGAACAGGAGAAGTTGGGGAGAGGCTTACTTGATAACCGGTTCGTTGTTGTTTTACATGGCAGACCATCTTGACCAATTCTGTAAAATGTATCTTATTGATTTAGCAGAAAAAACATAATTTTCCATTATATACATTTCACTCACAGTAGCAAGCCATTCTTCCACTTTTTAGACCATTTTTGTGTGACAGTCTTTTTTACTTTCTGCCATAATGAGACCAAACAAATTTCTATTACTTCTATCCAACTCTGTTCTACATCACCAATATACATAATAGTGCATTTAATCTCCAAAGGCATATTCTATGTGGTTTTGTATTTCCTCCCACAATCATCCAATGACATGGCCACCCCAAATGTGCTCATGCATGGTTTCACAGAGCCTTCAGCACAAACTTTCATGGCCTAGATGTCTTTTCTGAATCGTTGTGATAATGGTCTTTCAATGTTCTTCCAACAGAACTTCTGACATGCATTTGATGCTGTAAAGGTCCACTGAAGTTGGCATATGTTTCCCCAAGTTTCAGTTGGGATCAGTTATTTTACTTCATCCTCTAATTTCTTCTTGGTGTAGTCTGTATTCCTTCACTTTGAGAGCATTTGAGGTTTCCGTTGTACACTCTAGAAATAGCTTTATTACAGGAAATATTGTTTCTACTAGTATCAACTTGAGTACATTTACATATCAAGTTAATTTGATAGTCAGTCTACAAGTTTAACATGTTTTAAATATTTGGAGAGGAAAAAAATAAAGTCCTTTATTAAAAATATGCAGCTTTGATATTTTTGCTACCTTATTTTCGCTTTACAGCATCAGCTATGGTAAGAGGGCGGTACAATTTCCATTGATTCAGGGGTTTCATTAACAGTATTATCTGATTATTATTACCAGCTTTTAAAGTTATTTTAAGGTCTAAGTGCATACAGTAAAACATCACAATTATTTTCCATTAGCTTATCAACAATATAAAGATGAAACTATAATGGAAAGATTAATGAAAATCTAAATACAATCCTGACCAAAAAAGAAAACCCAAACATCTCCATGTATATAAAGCATATGTAAACTGCAAATGTTTCTGGCAACTTTCCTTTAATCTTGTTTCCACAGGGTACACATGTCGTCTGCAGCAGAGACGGTGGAAAATGCCTCCATCATTGCAGAGAGCGCGGCGCATGATGGAAACCGCCTGTGGATTGGCAACATCGATCCCAAAATCACAGAGTGAGTAAATCAGAAAAGCGTTCAGCTTCTTCTGTTCATCCACCATTACTATTGGTTTTATTCTGAAACCTCATAACGGTATTACCTTTACGTATCTTTATAGAACTATATCTCTAATATGAAGTCAAAAAATCTGATTGCAAGCTTTTACAGGATATATTTTATGCAGTTTCTGAAAAAAAGAAGAATGAGTTTATGGTGTGAACCTGGGAGTTTGGTTTTGACATGTATGGCTATACCACATAGGATGCAACATATTGTAGGTACATGTATGATTAATTGGCTGTGTTTGTTGTGTGTGAGCTGGTGTGTGTCAAGGACTGAAACAGAGCAGGCGAGCCTGGGTGTGTGAAAGAGATGCAGTGAGGCGCGGAGACCTGCTCTGCTAAGGAGCAGCCATCATTCCTCACTCACCTGCCCTGTTTACTCTCTCTGTGTCAACCTGAAGGTGTGTGTGTCTGTGTGGGAGGGTGTTTAAATCCACAGTAGAAGTCTGGGTGGCGGTTTGTAGAGGTGCAGGCTTCAACGCATACAAGAGCCTGAACATCATTAACCCGCCTCACTTTGTTATTTGCACTTGCACGCATCTTTTCATGCTGTTGAAAGTCTGATTGATAAACATATTCTGGAAATGGTTTTTAGGGTGAGGGGTGTTTTATTAGGCCTGTATGGGGGGGTGCTGCTGGAGAATGTATGGGACCAGGTTCTGGTGGGCGTCTAGACAGGCGTTTCCTTCCCCTTAACATGCTTTGCTCTGCTCTGCTTCTCCTTAAGTAGTCCAGTGCTCGGCCGTATGGAGGGAAAACAGGAGAAATGCATGTGGCCCCTGTTGCTGATTGGGAAGATTAATTAGCTCCAGGATAAAACATGCAGGACTCGTTTGGTTTGTTCTGCAAAACCTAACTTGGTTCAGAGGGTAGAACGGGAGAAACGTCACTGAGCACACTGCACCCTTGGGAAGTTTCAAATCAGTAGTGAATAAACTTTGTTCATTATTTGGTTCAGCTAATAAAAATAAACTCAAAACAAAACAGATGTTTTCTTTAAGGTTTATTAAAACATCAAACCTCTGTGGAAAGTTTTGTGGAGTAAATGAGTAATTTCATTTGTCTGAGATGCATTTTTTTCCACCGTCTTTATGAAATAAACAGGTTAACATTCAAAAAATTCAAAAAAAACCTTGACAACCTTTATATAATAAAATCAAGTTCTGCCGGAAACTAGTAGTTTCAAATTAATCAACTAATTAAATAATTAATTCCCTTGGGGATTAATAAAATGTTTTTGAATTGAATTAAAATAAATGTAATATAATTTCTGGCATTTTATTTTAGCTCTAATACCTATATACCTAAACATGATTGCAGACCAAAAAGCATTGTTCTGCCTCTAAGTATAAACCCAGCTGTTCTGAAAAGGCTTCAGAATTAAGCAGCATCAGGAAGACGACAATGAGCTGGTCAGATGGTACGATTGTGAGTTTAGTAATAAAAAAGTACTTTATTTGGACATGTCTTTAAGCACTGTTCAACCAAGTGTCTGCAAATTTTAAAGAGTACAGCACAGCTGCAAACATACCAAGAAATGGCTGTCCAATTATGCAAAGAGTCCAATTAGAACCTTAGAGGAGGCACAGAGATCCACAGCACTGGTGGGAGTATATGTCAATATATACAATACTAGTTGGATATCCTACATGCCTGGCTTTTGTGAAAGGGTTGCAAAAAGAACGCTGTTATTTAGCGGAAAAATCCCTTTTGCAGTTTACCACAAGCCATCTGTTGAACATTGAGAAGATGGTACTCTTGTCACATGAGACCAAAATGTATGGGAGAATTATCCTACCATAATGCAAGAGCACATAATTTCAATTTGAGAAAAGAATTTCATCTTCTTGCACTCAAAACTTATAATGCTCACACTCAAAACATGCGCTCTCTCTCAAATATTTTCTCTTCTCTCTCAAATCTTTGTTTCTTCTCTCAGATTTAATGCTTCTTGCACAGATATTTTCTCCTCTCGCTTGCCTCCTTCTCTTCGCGCACAAACCGCGCTCTGCACGAATCTCAGATACGCTCGCAAACCCGTAGGCTCTGCTTGCGGATTTTTTCTGCTCTCTCTCGGATTGCACTTGGATCGTCGCCTAGCAACCATTCCAGCCAATAGAACGACAGCCTGGGAAAGGGTGCGCTTGTTTAACCCTACTGAGTGCGCCTGTGCTACTACGCCACTTATAAGAGCGTCAGCTGAAACTGCTATTTACAGTAGTTTTGTGCCTCGATTCAGCAGAGTTCAGTACTTATGGATAACCCCAAAAAAAATCTGAATTAAGTAATTTTAAACAATTAGTGGTTTGTTATGTACAAAAGCAAAGAACCGACATATTAAATTATCTTGAAATACTTTGTTAGTATTGCATCCAGTATTGAAATGTAGGGGGAAAAAATAAATTTTTTACAAAAAGTTAAAATGTTGGATAGTTATTTCCAATTATTATTATGGTGTTATGTGTCCAGTCAGCTTTCTTATTGACGTGAACACCCAGGTATTTGAAACTCTCCACAGTTTCTATGTCCTGCCCCTGAATGTTCACACGGGGGTCGTCTCCTGAAGTCGATCACCATCGCCTTGGTCTAACTGGTGTTTAAACACAGGTATTTTTTCTCACAACAGTCCACAAGGTCCATGATGACTGACCAGTACTCCAGCTCATTCCCCTCAGACACACAGCCCACAAGGTGAAGGTGTAGAGGGTGAAGAGAAATGGAGACAGGACGGTGGCCTGGAGGCCCCAGTGCTGCAGACTGCCACCTCTGACTGATAGCCTTGCAGCCACAGGGCTGTCAGTCAGAGAAAATCCTGACTTTGATTTTCTTATAGAAGTCAGGAGAAAAAGATTTCTCTTCCAGGGTCAAGTCATCCACGCCTCCGAAAATTAACCATCTCACTCTTAACTAAATATAAAATTTGAGGTCTGATTAAACATGATAATAAAATTTAAATAAATACAAATTTTAATATCATAATACAGTACTTATTATTTATTAACCTGCTGATATAGCCAACAAACCGCATAGTTAGTCCAATGAAAAGCTCCTTTGAGGTGAAAACAGCGGTGGCTTTCAGAAGACATAAGTCTCCTTTCCTTGTAATGTCCTACTTGAGCTGCGATTGGGCTCCTCTTTCGGACCAATTGTCCACTCATCCAACATTTTAAAACATCCATAACTCACTGACTGGTTAAAACGTAAAGATTTGCCATTATACTAACAAAGTATTTCAAGATAATAATTTAATATGTCGGTTCTTTGCTTTTGTACATAACAAACCACTAATTGTTTAAAATTACTTAATTCTGAATTTTTTGGGTTATCCATAAGTACTGAGCTCTGCTGAATCGAGGCACAAAACTACTGTAAATAGCAGTTTCAGCTGATGCTCTTATAAGTGGTGTAGTAGCACAGGCACACTCAGTAGGGTTAAACAAGCGCACCCTTTCCCAGGCTGTCGTTCTATTGGCTGGAATGGTTGCTAGGCGACGATCCAAGTGCAATCCGAGAGAGAGCAGAAAAAATCCGCAAGCAGAGCCTACGGGTTTGCGAGCATATCTGAGATTCGTGCAGAGCGCGGTTTGTGCGCGAAGAGAAGGAGGCAAGCGAGAGGAGAAAATATCTGTGCAAGAAGAATTAATCTGAGAGAAGAAACAAAGATTTGAGAGAGAAGAGAAAATATTTGAGAGAGAGTGCATGTTTTGAGTGTGAGCATTATAAGTTTTGAGTGCAATTGAAATTATGTGCTCTTGCATTATGGCAGGATAATTCTCCCATAAAAATTGACCTATATTCCTGACCTGCAAAATGATGCATTGCATGAAACTAGCGTTTCCTTTAGGGCCAAAACAATTAATCAATATAACTGTGATTAATAGAATATTTAAATAATTATCAACTGATTTATTCATAAAATAGTTACCCTGACTATACAGACTCTAAAAGATGCTATTTGCTGACAGAACAATGTTTTCAAAGGAGTAATTAAACCAATTCTGTATAAAAAAAAATCTCTACAGTTTGCATTTCAGATAAAAAACAAAAAAAAACAACAAAAAATATTTTCTCTCTGTTCTAAGTCAAGATGGAGCCTTACATTAGGTGGCTGAATTCTGGGCTGATATTAGCTTTTTTTTCTTGTGTCGGCCAATGGTTATGCCTTGAGATCATGGATTTCCACTCTCTTCATTAACTATCCATTGTTAATGAGTTTTTAGATTTTTGTAATTAATGGTAATTTTCTGTTTAAAATGAGACATGTCTACAGATGTGATGGAGTTTTACCTTTCAGCTGGTCAGCAGCTCTAAAGTTGCAGCTCTGCTGTCAAAGTCCAGGCCAACGTTAACTGAGAATATGTGGGAGGGCTTGAAAATTGTTGTCTATAGTCTCTGTTTATCCAGCCTGACTGAGCTTTGCTTATTTCTAATTGTTGTGAAAGTTTATTTTTCAAAGTATTGTCTGAGGGAGATGAATGCATATTCATGCCGCACTTTTCAAATTTTTATCTATGGCAAATTATGAAAAACATTCATTGTATTTTCCCCAGGCCATGTGATGGACCAGCAACCTGATCAGGGTCCTGCCTGCCTCTCATCCATTGACTGTTGGAGATGGGCAGCTGCCCCCTGTGACTCTTACCTTAAAGACAATTGATAGATGTTCATTTCCTTAATTTCACAATTATAAGCTGCTTCCAACATGATACATTCATGTCTGTGTTTGTAATATGATAAAATGTAAAAAAAAAACAACAACATTTATTTCATGTTGGATTTTTGAGGCGTGGGCAAGAAATTCTGGCTTCAGACCTGCACTGTCAGGACCCAGACCTGCACTGTCAGGACCCTGCGTTGCAGACCTGCCAAATGGAGCCTGACAGTGCAAGATACTCCATTTGGCAGGTCTGCACTGTCAGGACCCAGACCTGTACTGTCAGGACCTGGACCTGT